CCTCATCTGCACAACCACGAACAATTTGCACTTCCTCTTGTTCCTAATTGAATACCTTTCTTTCTTTCTCCTGCCCCTGATTGCCCTGGCCAGAAGTAATTCGAACTGAGAGTGGTGAGAGAGGCGCGATCTGTCTTGTCCAGTTTTCAAAAGGATGCTCTCCCCACGCTTTCTTGCCCCATGGCTCAGCTCATGATATTGGCTGCTGGAATTGTTGTATAAATAACGCTCTTATTCATTTTGGAGATCACAATTCCATCAAGTACCTGAGTTTATTAAGAAGGTCTTCCCCCAAGTGCGTGGTGTTGAATTCTTAATTGAAGGCCGTTCTTTGTACATCTAACTGAGCTCAATCAATGTGATTTTTCTCCATTGGTTCGTGTATATGCATGGATTACGTTTACTGCTTGGCAATATGTTTCGCAATCAGCCTTCGCATCCCAGGGATGAAGTCAACACCTTTGATCCGGGCTGGACAAGCGCTCTTTGATATCTACTGGCATTTGGTTGCTGCCAGTACCTTTATTGAGGATTTTTGCTCCATCGTTCCATCCAGGATATTGGTCCTACAAATTCTCTTTTTTTGTTGTGCTCTGCCACGCGCCCCTTTGCGTATTCCGGATGATGCCTGGCCCTCATAAAATGACGATGGAGGCGAGGAATTCCCTCTTTTCCCTATTGATTCGGACCATAGTTTCCCAGCAGGAACTGGTACCACGCTCCCTCTTTGTACCTCTGGTAGATTCAGTTGTGAGTCCATCAGGCTCCTGGACCCTTTCTTTGGTTGGCTACAGCTATTAATTATTGCTCAATCTTCAGAAACTCCCTGTTTATTGATCTAGTTCAGGGATTCAATTTCTTCCTGGTTTCAGCTCTTGGGAGAGTCGCATGGTCCGGAATTGCTATCATTTCTTCTAGATCGTTCTCGTTGTATTTTGTAAGGTGTTTATGGTAGGTAGCGTGCGTAACCCGACCTTTCTCTCTGGCTGCCCTTAACAGTTTTTTCTTCATTTCAACTTTGGTGAATCTGACTTATGTGTCTTGGAGTTGTACTTCTCGAGGAGTATCTTTGTGGTGTTCTCTGTATTTCCTGAATTTGAATGTTGGTCTGCCTTGCTAGATTGGGGAAGTTCTCCTGGATAATATCCTGAAGAGTGTTTTCCAACTTGGTTCCATTCTCCCCATCACTTTTAGGTACACCGATCAGATGTAGATTTGGTCTTTTCACATAGTCCCATATTTCTTGAAGGCTTTGTTCGTTTCTTTCTACTCTTTTTTCTCTAAACTTCTCTTCTCGCTTCATTTCATTCATTTGATCTTCGATCACTGATACCCTTTCTTCCACTTGATTGAATCAGCTACTGAAGCTTGTGAATGTGTCACGTAGTTCTCATGCCATGGTTTTCAGCTCCATCAGGTCATTTCAGGTCTTCTCTATGCTGTTTATTCTAGCTAGCCATTCATCTAATCTTTTTTCAAAGTTTTTAGCTTCTTTGCAATGGGTTCAAACATCCTCCTTTAGCTCAGAGAAGTTTGTTATTACCGATCGTCTGAAGCCTACTTCTGTCAGCTTGTCAAAGTCAATCTCCATCCAGCTTTGTTCCATTGCTAGCGAGGAGCTGCATTCCTTTGGAGGAGAAGAGGTGCTCTGATTTTTAGAATTTTCAGCTTTTCTGCTCTGGTTTCTCCCTATCTTTGTGGTTTTATGTACCCTTGGTCTTTGATGATGGTGACATACAGATGGGGTTTTGGTGTGGATGTCCTTTCTGTTTGTTAATTTTCCTTCTAACAGTCAGGA